TCTGTCCAGTAAGTTGTCCTTCTGGTCTGCTATGGTTTTATACTGCCAACACAGATCACTGAATTAGTCTATGACTTTAAGAAGTTACTTTGTCCATTATTCTTTTTTTTTTCCTATTTATAAGTGATTCCCCTACCAATTGCCTTGATATTTATGCAAATTGATTTTTATTGCTGAAAATTTGTTGGTGATCAGCGTTAGCAGCACCAGTGTTGTTAGCTGTTGGGGTGGCTGAGGCTGAACACAGACAGAGTGTGAACAGAACTGGTATCCAGACAGACAAATGTTGTTTGTGATCTAACTTAGCAAACCAACCATTTAATTTGCTGAATACATACTGGATTGGGTACTTCTTCAAGATACATATCACTCCCAATAATAGTTGTTTGTGTATCTTAAGGTATTCATTTCCTCTTAGAAAGGTGTAGCTACAGATAAAAATGTAAGTATACTCAACATCTAAATAAATGTTAGAGGTGTATGGAAGGACAAAATCTTCACTGAATTCTAATCCAGAATTACTATGGTGGAATTGGCCAGCAGTCAGACAGCAAATTAATCACAACCTTGGTCAGAAAGCTTCCTAAAATATATTACTACAGTAAGTAGTCTTGGAAGTGTTTCATGTTGAGAATTTGCTTGGTTCCAATTTTATTCAATATGTCATTAAAGGGATTATCTCTGAAACCAGCAGAATTTTTTGAAACAAGAAAAAATAAAAGGGGCCTGCTATAGAAGTATAAAAGGAAACTGAATTGATGTTAATCTGTTCAGAATTCCAGGAAGTACAATTAATGCCTGGGGTGTTTAGATATGCTAACTTAAAGCCTGCTAGTCCTTGATGTTTGCAACTGTACTTGTATTATATAATCTCCTGAATAATTCAGCTTTCTCTTATTTGTTTCACAGTTAGTTCTTTCTAAGTTGGAGGCACTACCCAATATATAAAGAAAATTATACAAAGGGCAATAATAATTTTATTTTGATGGGTTCTTATGAAAATTTAATTCCTAAATTCAGTTTTTCTACTCAATTATTTCTACAATCAAGAGTAGTAAGAGGAACATAGTATCCCTTATTACTTAGAATCAAATATACATTTGTAATTATGAACAGAGATTCTGTTCTCTGCTTCCGCTGAAAATCATCTCCTTTTTTTTCTTAGAACACTACTTCTCATCTGCAAATGTTGATGCTCAATTTTCAACTCATTCATCAAGATTTTAATGCAAAAGTATTTTGCGGTTCATTTTAAGACATATGTTTGAATCAATTATTGCCCCATTTGCCTGGATTTTAGGTGGCACTCCACACTGGTTTCAGTGATGAGTTCTGAGTATGTATCAATAGACAGTAATCTATTTAAAACATGATTTATGTCTTTTGCTAGCTCGGAGATCACAGTGATCCCATCCCGCTTCCCATATATGAATTACTGCTGGTCTTTTAGATTTCTTCTATTAAAGATTGCCTGTAGCAGTGGTAGTTCTAGAAAGAGAACCTCTCCTGATCTTCTGTGAATGGACTCATTCCACTCTCTTAATCTCTTCTGAAAAACTGTTTTCATTAGATTTTGCTGCAGTGATACTAAAGATTCAAGCATATTAATTGTAGAAAAGAGAGAATCAGTGATACAATAAATTGTGAAATCTGTATACTGTACTAGCTAGAAAACAATAAATGAGGCAGTAAATTGTCATTGGAACAAAAGGACCAGTTATCTCAAATCTAGGATTTGGCCCCATCCTTACATTTCATACTAACTTGCATTTCTGCACAACTGTCTACTTACTCTCGCCTTTTTTCTGAAAATGTGTATTTCCTGTAAGCCTCCTTCTACAGCTGCCACGCTAAGTCCAAGTTCAGTCTCACAATTGGGAAGGCTACTTCTAAGGAAAACTTGTTCAGTGAAAAGTTACCTCTCCTCATCCACCAGTCTAAGTAATCCAAAATTTGTCCGGACATCACCTCAATTATAGTTTGTCTTTAGTGCCAAATCAGAGTCAAATAGTGGAAGCTTAATGTGGCAAAGATGCCAATGTTTGTATATTCTTTGGCAATTTTTAGAATAATCCTTATGACTTTTGGTTATTGTGGAGGAAGTTTCAGCAGAATTTTTTTCTGAGTGCTGATAGATATGAAATGACATCTTTAATGTAAACTTACTCCTTGACATTTCTATTACTATGATTTAAAAGGCTGAAAACAGCACCACTAACGGAAGCTCTCATTTCTACATTTTAGGCTGACCAAATTTCTGGCTTTCACATAAGATCTGTTCTGTGTGTTCCTATATGGAACAGCACCCACCAAATAATTGGTAAGACTTCCTTCATGGCTGCATAATTTTTGTGCTACTATAAATTGAGTTCTATCTTTTTAATTCTGTGTTCCTCTTTCTTCGTTTTCCCGGCTGAATATTGTTAAGAAGTTACAGTACCTAGGATGCATGCTAAGTATCCAAGAAGGGATGTTTTGACTTGGATACTGTGTGGACAGTGTGAACAATATATAACTTAACTTTCCAGCTGTGTCATTAAGTTATATATTGTACTGAACTTTAATGAGATGAAAACAGAAATTGTAACCATATTAGTGAAAAATGTTTTATATGCATTGATGTTTTCCTTGGGTTTCCCTCTTTACTACATGGGCAACTGTGTGCAGTCAAGCTAAGGGTTCATTTCCCTCTAACGATGAACTCGGTGCAGTCAGGGAAGATTTGCTGGTGGCAGTGGTCGGAGTTGCCTGTTGCAGTGGTGGATCAGGATGTGACAGTTTCAGGACATCTTTGATAGGATTCTTTGCAGCTATGCTACACCAGCAGTTGGCCCTGTGCTCTTACCTGCTTTTGGCACAAAAAGGAGTGCTTGTAAATAACAGTGCCAGGTTCCTCTGCTAACGTTCCTCAGAAGAACTGGCATCAAAGCAATGTGCATTTATACTGGCAGGGCAAGAGTTAGATCCCTGGGCATTGTGGCTGCCAGGGGGAGCTGAGGTGGGAGTGCATTGCTGAAGGCACTTGGTGCCATGCAGGGTCTTTGAGCTTCTTTAGCAGAGGTGATGTGGGAGTTGAGTCTTTTAAAAATACATCTTGTTGTTTGTTGTGAACTCTGTCTTATCTTCAAGAATGAGAAATAATCTGAACTCTTGACAGCAGATTACTCTTACAAGTATCAGATTACTCTTACAAGTATGTTTCTAAGGGCTTATTGCAGATAAATGAAATAGAAATGTTTGTTATAGTAGAAATCACCATTAGTTCAGAAAATGCATTTTTTCATTGGCTCAGTAAATTAATGAACCAGTCATGAGTAAAAAATGATTTATATACCTAGATGATGCTAAACTAACTAAGATTTTAGGAAGGAAGGTACTGATTCAGTAAATTGTATTGGAAACTCCAAATTTTTAGGACAACTTATGTGATTGCTGTTAGCAAAGTGATCAAGATCTTTCTCAAATAGATCTTTAGATCTCAAATAGGTCATTTTTGTGAAAAGCAGTGTGAGTAACTTTTTGATTTGCAGTGTTATACTTAGATAATAAAGAATAACAGCTGAAAGTACTAGTATCAAAACAATCAAATTTTTGCACATCTGTGTCTAATTATTTTCAGAATAAATATTTGCATGTTGCTTTTCAGTTTGAAATATGTGGTTTACATTTTACCAGTGAATAAAACATTCTGCATTGTGTATTAATGAATGACAATTATTATTCATATCAACTCTTTTTAAAGGGGTAGCTCAAGTGTTGAACAGGCTTGATGGGAAATCCTTTGACGATGCTGACCAGCGACTGTTTGAAGTAAGAGGCATTCAGTTCAGCATTAACATACTTTTTCAGTAGCATTTGGTATTTCTCAGTAATCTGCTTCAGTCCACTCCAGGGATGGGGGGAGAATATCTTGTGTGTATTTGTGGTTTGACATTAATTCTCAGAAATCCTCACTTAGAAGGTGACATCCTAATTAAAACAAGTTTCTGGCATCTAATCTCTCATCTGGAGGCCAGTGACTCACCTGCATTCTTAAAATAACCTGTTTAAACATGATTATTCCTAAAATTTCCATGCAATTTCTTTTCATGATTAAGCCAGTGTTCATCTTTGTGCTTGTCTTATAACTGATTCACAACTGATTCTCTTTTGTCTCTTTTTAAATTTTAGGCTTTTGTTATTTTTTGTGGCCTGGGTATCAACAATACAATTATGTATGACCAAGTGAAGAAATCCTGGGCAAAACAGTCTGTGGCTCTTGATGTATGTGTACATCTTTGTGAAATCTTTTCTTGCTCCTAACTGTTAACATGTAAAGAAGCCTGCTATATTTTTAAAAAATATGATTATTTAAACTTCTCTAACCAAATTTAACAATATAGCACTGTGGTCCATATGTCAGGAGATTTTAAACATTGTCATATTAAAAATAATCTTGGTGAGAAAAAAGCCTCGAGTTTTGAGGATAGCTTTACAAATTCGCATTATTCCTACTGCAACAATAATTAAGAGCAGCTTGAATGAAATTTCAGATCTTTTGAAAAAAGCATTATTCAAGACTGATTAATCTTAAAACATTGCTCTGAGGAAAGGGTAACATCACTAAGATATTGTTTTAAATTTCACATGTGATAAGAGAAGAAAATAATCTAGTTGTCCCTGATGCGTGCACTTTTTACCTATGTAATTCCTTTGAGGTTCTCCAGTACATCATTACAATATGATCCACAAAAATAATATTGGCCTGAATGAAATATGAAATTCTTTCTATTAAAAGAAAAATCAAACCCAACTGTATTACTATAAAGAGGCTTTTTTTTTCACTTTGCTTTAAGGCTTGAGATATTAATCTGCATAGTGGGGTTGCATCCTGTGCTGCACACAGACCTAGTCAAACTTTCCAAAGTCAGTAACACTGTTGGTGTTAGAAATCCTAAACAGAAGTGGCTTTCTTTGTTTGTATATATCTACCCATGTAAAACGAAAAGTTAAAAGCTTACCTTTTCAGGCCTCCTGCAAGATCCTTATGCTTTACATGCCATAGTCATGAATAAGTCTTCATATGTCCCATGTATTTGTGCAATATGACACCTGAGTGCTCCTCCTGGCAAGAAAAGCAAGCAGTGATAGATGTCACACACAGATATACAGGGATGAAACTTCACATAGAAGTTTATTTGCCACTGAAATAAAGAAAATTATTTTTTTTTTGTTTAAAATACAACTTCCTTCTTTGATCTAGAAAAGACTAATAACTATATAGCTTATATGTATAGATTTGATAAATAGCCATTAATCTGCAATTAAGAGTAATTCTTTCTATAAATGGGCAACAGCTCTTGATAATATTTGCATAAAATGATAGAAGATGCAGGAGAAAAGTATTGAACACCAGAATGGTATGAGATGAAGGACTGCAGATTTTCACTAATAGAATACTTCATTAATATATATGTATTTAGTTATAATGGCAATGAATGACACTTGAAAATTACATTGATAACAGATGCAAAATAAACAAACTTGTTATATATCACAATAAGATTCTTGTCTGTATATAGTTTTCATATAGTATTCTGATAAGATTGACTACTAAATAGAAGAGCAAAACATAAATAAATTATCAGGAAAGTTTGCCATGATTCAAAGCCAGGCTAAATACTTTTTTTATACTAAGACACAAAATTTGCAAATTATTTAAAGATTAGAGTAATAAATACTAAGGGAGACTGTTAAAATCTAGAAGGTTATAATGAATACAGATCAAGGAGAATTTTGCTGTTAAATGTAATATGTCGTAGCATAAGATATAATTTTATTAATCTTACCAGTTTCTGAGAGAAGTTGCAGTATGGTTGGACAGAAAAATAGATACTATTTGAGAAAGGACATGATGTATAATCATAAAAAGTAAAATGGGGTACAGAACCAATAAGTTTATGGTTTTTATTTAGTCTTGTACCGTGTGGGAATGAATTCCTGTTACTGTAAAAGGTGGTATCTCTAAAACTGATATGTCTTGGGACTTACTGCCACAAGGTGTTGCAAATCAAAGTCCTGTGAGACGGTTTCGGTGTTTGTATGAATAACAGAGACATTAATGGATGAAAATGATTTCAAAGTGAGAAGCCCGTATCAAAGCTTTAGCACATCAGCAGGTCAGGTGTAGCAGAGCGGGGAAGGACCTGTCCCAGCTGGGAGTGCTGGGAGTGCTCTGGCTCTGGGAGCTTCCTCATGGACCAGCACAGCTCACCCCATGCACAGCCAGACTCCCCATGGTGGGCCCAGAACACAGAATGGCTCTGGCACCTTCTGCAGTGCTTGCTCAGCGTTAGTATCAACCCACAAGGATAGAATGTACTACATATTAATGGCTGCATACCAAGAGGTAATGAGAGCATGTGTGCAGTACTCTGTACATTTTATTTGATGCTGCTCTCTGCAGATGGTATTGAAGAGAATGTCAGACACAGCACAGAGGTGCTGATATTTGGATGCAACTATGTGACACTAGTATAGGCATTAAAGCTTTTCAGTATAGCAAAAGGCATTATTAAAAGTCCATATATCTACTGTTACTTTTACATTAAATTTTTTCTCTTTGGATTGTAGAACTTCAGGAGAACAATGTAGGAATCCTTATAACATTAAATTACTTACTGTTCATTATTCCCTATAAAATTCCCTGCAGCATAACTGTCAAATATATGCCTGATAACCTGTAATTAGCTATTATATGCTGTCAATCAGAACAGAATTATCACACAAACACTAATAAAATTTGCTTTAAACATAACTGATTAGACTGCAGTACAGAGCCCTGGTATTGCTACTTGACATATGTACAAAAATGGTTTTTATGTTTTGTTCTGGGGCAGGTGTTGTCTTATCATGCAACATGTTCGAAGGCAGAAGTGGATAAATTCAAGGTAAGATTTAAGTTTTTAATGTACTGATTTCTGGAACTATAACTGTAAATTAATATTTGTCTAGATTATCTGAGAGAAGTTTTACATCATAAGCAGAAAGTCTGAATTAAAGATTATTTACAATGGATATATTACATGTAAGGCTGTCAAGCAGGGAAGGTGGAACATTTCTTTCAGAGCTGCAGTGGTGGGTGCACAGCAGCAAAGTCCCATTGTCCCAGCACCAGCTACTGGAACTGCATGTCAGTGTGGGTTTGGTGGCCTTCTCAGCAGGAACCATCACAGGGAAGTCATACCACGTAGAACATGAGAGAGAGACTAGAGAAAAAGAAAAGAACTCAAGACTTTACATGCATAAGCTATAAAGCTTGGAAGCTGCTCTGTATTTACTAAAAAAGTGGAGCATTCACTATCCAGGCTGTGCATAGGCTCAGGGCTGGACGGGAAGGTGAGGGATCACCTAACTCCTGTAAGTGCCCTTGGCAGAATGTGAAAGTGATGTGCTCTGAGTGTAGCATTAGTAGGGACCAATAATTACATGTTCTCACTGAATCCTGCCTTGCCATGGGCTAGAAAGTGGGTGGAACAGTGCCCTTGATCTTTCATCACTGCCAGCACTCCAGTGCTGCTTTTGTGAAAGACTGTTTGTCTTTTCCTGCTTGAAGAGGCACTTGGGAAATTTGGTGATGGTTCCCTTGGCTATGAGGAGGCAATGCTGGTAGAGAGCTCCTCAAAGCTGTTTGGGAGGCTCCCAGGGTGGGTATCACTGCTGGTCTCCTGGACACACTGCATCAGAGATGGTAGCGAGGTCTGGGAAGAAGATCTGGACTCTGGCACTCCCTGCTCTGGAGCTCTGGCATCTGTCTAGCTGAAAATTAACTGTTGGGTGGTTATTTTGACACTTGGCTGTCAGGCTGCAACCTGCTTTCTGCACCATGGGGATGCCTGTGGTGAAAGGGGGAACACATGGCTGGCATAGAGCTGATCCTGCTGAGTGATCTGGGCTGAGGAAGGGCACCTCCTGCTAGTTAATGAGTTTGTAGGTTGTTGCCCAGATGATCATCCAACACTACAGGAAGTACTTCTGTGTGTGCAGTAAGTTGCATTCAGTGTTTGGCAAAAAGAACTGAACACTATTGAGAAAGAGGAAAGAAAGGGGTAAAGGACCATCAACTTTCTGTTTTATTTTTGTATTTCCATTTACCTTAGACTACACATCTGTAATATAGTTTCTATAACTCTCAGGAGTCCACCAGCATCTTTGTATGTCCAAGAGGGCCATACTTGATTGATGTCAGCCATTGAAAGACAGCTCTCCTTCATAGCCTCTGTAGCTGAAATAACAGCCTGCTATGTTACTCTTTGGACTCAGATGCTCATGTGATGAGAAGCTATTCTACTTTTTTCCCCAGGTGACTTCATTAATAGATAGACCAGTCTCCAAGTAAGAAATGTCTTTTTGTTATCCATTTACCTTGAAGGCATGCAACTATCCATTTAATGGCTAATAATAAGGTAAAAGGAAATGAAAAGCATTTTTTTATTAATAACTCCAAAATATATAATTCTAAAGTATATATGTCTTATAAAGAACATAGATGAGAAAATAAGGAACATAACCAAGCTGTGCCTAAAGTAAGTTAGGCTATTTTTTAGAAAAATTGTCCCTTTTCTATGTCTATATCTGTGGCAGCACATTTCTCCCTCTCTCAGGATTTTTCATAGAGGTGCACAGAGAGAAATGAAAGAGAAAATTTCTATTTCTGCTCCTTGTTTTTCTCATATGGAATGCATTTGGAGAATTGTTTACCTGGAGTGAGTGCTTGATTGGATTCTGGTAAGGATTGTTTGAGCCTGATGGCCAATCCAATCCACCTGTGTGTGGATGAGAGCGAGACAGTGTAGTATGTGGTTTTAGTATCTTCCTTGATATAGTATATTAATGTATTTTAGCATAGTTATAATAAAGAAATCATTCAGCCTTCTGAATTGAGTCAGACATCGTTTCTTCCCATTGGGTTTGCCTGCATTTACAACATATATCCAGTTGTCTCACTTTCAGTTCCTGACAAAATTACTCTGAAGTAGTTTTTGTTAATGCTTTTGCACCACTGGATGTAAACAAAAGAACAAAAACCCAGAGACAATCAGCATGTCTTGTGGGCCTGTGACACAGAGCTCATCCCAGAGAGGGCCATCCATCTGTGGGATGAAATTGCTCCCATCCCCCTGCTTACAGTCGGCCTCTCTGCTGAGGTCTCCCAAGGCATCCTACCCTGAAATCACTGCTCTTTTCCCTGTTTGTTATATCATTATATTTTGTATAAATCCTTTGTTATATTAGGATCATCTTCTAGACGTGACTGGCTAATAAACCATCCCTCCCTCTGGGGGTGTTTGGGGCTAAATGTGTCCCCTCTCTCAGTGGTGATTTATTGGCAGATGTCAGCGCAAATGTCTGTTACGATTGACCCGATGTCCTGGTTCAGTCAGAGCAGAGACACAGACATGACAGAAACATCTAAATGAGAGTGATGCCAGGAGATCACTATTGGCTTCTGACTGACACAATACCCAGAAGTAATTAATGACTTTGGAGTGACAATACATTTGAGTTGACAACTTCTCAACATATTATCCCAAACATACTGTAACTGGACCACAGGATCTTGGAAATAATTACATATTCTTGTAGTACAAGATTTTTTTCCCCTCTTTGTAAGTTTTCATAAAATGATTTTCCATTAATTTTTATTTGCTCAGGATCTCAAGATCTCAAGATCTTCACTGGCTTTTACGAATGAATTATTTTATTTTATTTTATAGAAAGCCCAGCAAGAGGAGCTAAAGTGGATTTTACTTGAAATTTCATCAGTAATTTCTTACTATTATTGAATGAATTCACAAACACATAAATTCACAAATATACCCATATTTTAAATAATTAAGCATAATCACTGTGACCAGGTTCTGTAAAATAAATAACATTTATTTTCGTTTCTTGTAATCCCATCTAAGAATTAATGAAGAAAACTCCACCTTAATAAGAAACCCTTAAGATATTAAACCTTTCTCCAGATGTTTATCCTGGAAAAAGTGCAAAGCAGTATTGCTGGTGGAGCTGGAAAAATATAGAGGAAAATTCTCAGTATGGAACAATAAAACAAGAGTGTAT